ACTTTATTCTTTTATAAAATAATATGTCCCAAAGTTTCTAAATAATAAAATAAAATATTTCCAAAGCAATTAAATAAATAAAATTGGACCTTTAATTAAAATAAACCTTTTTAAATTAATAAATACCTTAAATAATTCATTTCAAATTACTTAAATACTTCATAAAATAACATTTTAAATTAATATACGTATAAAAATACGAGGTATTACAGTCTACTCCCCTTAAAAAAAGTTTGTCCCGAAACTTGGGTAACGAAAATCAACATTTTTCTTCACTTTGTGTAAAATTGTTGTACTCTTTTGACATACTTCTACCTTTAATGTCTCATTGAAATCAAAATACTCGAAATAACTGTTAAAAATGTGTAAAAAGCACTAAAATAACTGAAAATAGAGGGAAAAAGCGCAAAATTCTACCGCATTCTATCCCCCTCAAAGAAAACGAATTACGTCCCCGTAACTCAACATACCTCAAACAACTCAGGGTATTTCTTTTTCATCTCATCCTCGGCTTCCCAAGTTGCTTCCTCATGTTCTCTGTTAGACCATAGCACTTTAACAATCTTAACTTCCTTGTAGCGTGTACTACGCACTTTAATTTACTGTCAAGGATCTTGACATGTCTTTCCTCATAAGTTAAGCTTTGATCTAACTCAATTGTTTCAGGTTATAGCACATGTGATTTATCAGGAATATACCTTCTTAGCTGAGACACATGAAATACATTATGCACCTTACTTAGCTCCATAGGTAGGCTAACCTATAAGCTACTTTGCCTATCCTCTGTAATATCTCATATTTATGGACCAATATACTTTGGGCTGAGTTTCCCTTTCTTCCCAAATCTCATGACACCTTTCATTGGTGATACCTTCAACAATACTTTGTCACCAACTTCAAACTCTTCTTCCCTACGCTTCAAATCTGCATAACTCTTTTGACGATCTTGTGCTGCTTGAATCTTAGATTGAATCTCTTTTACCTAGTTAACTGTAACTTTAATCATTTGAGGCCCTAAGATCATTATTTCACTTATGTCGTTCCAACATACAGGATTGCGACACTTCCTTCCATATAATGCCTCTAATGGAGCCATGCCAATGCTCGCATGATAACTATTGTTATACGAAAATTCAATTAAATCCAAGCTATCTTCCCATCCCCCTTGGAAGTCTATGACACAAGCTCTCAACATATCTTCCAAGGTTGGAATAGTTCTCTCAGTTTGTCAATCTGTGGCAAGGTGAAATGATGTACTCATCTTTAGTGTTGTACCAAAGTTTTCTTGCACGCTCTTCCAGAACTTTGAAAAAAGCCTAAAATCTCTATCAGACACAATATCCTTTGGAACTCCATGTAACCTCACAACATTCTTAAAGTAAGCTTTTGAAAGTTTCTCCATCTTCCAAATCTCCTCCATTGGTTTGAACACTGCAAATTTAGTAAGTCTATCCACCACGACCCAAATGGTATCATTTCCACTCTTTGACTTTGGGAGGCAAGTCACAAAATCCATCGAAATGCAATCCCACTTCCATCCAGGAAATTCTAATGATTGCACGGTTCCTTGCGGTCTCTTGTGCTCTATTTTCACCTTTTGACAAGTTAGACACTTTGCTACAAATTCCGCAACTTCATTCTTCATTCTAGGCCACCAATACATCTTTTTCAAGTCTTTATATACCATGTCCCCTCCTAGGAGTACTGAGTATGGTGTATTGTGACCTTCTTCCATTAATTTTCTCTTTACTGCCTCACATTTTTGTTGTACACACCATCTACCCTTGTACCTTAAACTTCCATCTTCATGAATTTTGAAATCTGTAGCCTTTCCTTGCTTGATTTTCTCACGAATCCTATCCAACTTAACATCTCCTGCCTGATTTTCCTGTATCTCATCAAATATTGTTGGTTGAATGCTTAGATTCGCAAGTATACCTGCTGGCACTCCCCATTATACCACTTCTAGGTTTATTTTCCTCATTTCTCTACATAACTCATCAGCCACTATCAAAGTGTCCAGTCCACGATTAGTCTTAGGACTTAGAGAGTCCGCAACTACATTTGCTTTCCCTTCATGGTATTGTATGTCCAAGTCGTAGTTTGTTGCAAATTCTAACCATCTCCTTTGGGGCGAGTTTAGATCTCTTTGGGTGAAGGTATACTTCAAGCTTTTGTGGTATATGTAAACCCTATATTTCACCTCATACAAGTAAAGCCTCCAAATCTTTAGTGCCAAAATGATTGCAGCAAATTCTAAATAATGAGTAGGGTAGTTTACTTCATGAGGTTTTAACTATCTTGATGCATATGCAATCACCTTTTCACTTTGCATAAGCACGCATCCCAGACCATTCTTGGATGCATCACTATATACATCATAGATTCCACTATCATCTGGCAATGTTAGCACTGGTGCTGTAATCAACTTTTGTTTCAAGGGTTGGAAAGCTTATTTGTTTTGTTTTTTTTTTTCTTTTTTTTTATTGGTAAGTAAGTGACTTTATTACGAAGTGAAAAAGTTACAACTTACAAACTATAGGAAAATTGTAACTCTCCAAACTACAACGCCTAAACAAAGGCAAACACCCTCCTAACATTCCCTCACCCTCAAGGAACCACCTTCTAGGATGGGAGAACAAGGAAGGGAAGAGGGATCAGTTATGTCTCATGCTGTGGCACCTTCTAGGAAGGGTACACACCACAAAACACAGCAAGCAAACCAGACACAACAAGCTACAACACCTAATACAACAGACAAAACCACAATTAACTACAACTAGTGCTTTGAAGATTATGAAGCCATTTGCAATGATGCCTCTTCCATCTACAGCTGATCATCTGCCTGCACCTCTACACCACTTCTGCATTAATCCTCTTACAAACTGCTCTAGGGTGTATGACAACCTTCAGCCAGAGAGCCTTATTCCTTGCAAACCGGATTTGGTAGACCACAACAGTCAAAGCAGCATAACAGATTTTCATTTTAATAGGGTCTTTCACCAACCTACCCCACTGTTTCCAAGAGTTGTCAATACTGAAGTGAGCTTCAGAGATACCAAGCCACTCACTGATTCCTGAGAGACACTTCCTGCTGTAATTACAATCAAAGAAAAGGTGTTTCCTGTTTTCAACAGCATCACCACGGAGAAGATAGGTATTATCCTGGCAAACACCCCAATCAAAAAGCAATCTTCTTGTTCTCAGTCTATCCTGTACAGCCAACCAAAGAATGAAACCCTGCTTTGGAATATTAAATTTTTTCCACACCCAGGGATATCAGGACACATCCTGTTGAGGTCCTTGAATCCAGAAGTAAACCTTGGGGATACTATACCATCTATTCAACCAACCTGCATTATGGAACCCCTCCTCCAGTCTATCCTTAACCTTAAACAGATTCTTCCAAGCCCAGCCTGCATTCTTTTTTGGCTTGTAATCCCACCAATCCCTATCTTTGAGGTAAACAACATGCACCCAACGCACCCACAAAGAGTCCTCCTTTTGAGAAATATTCCACACATATTTACCCAAGGCTGCTGAGTTCCAGGTAGCACAATCCCTCATTCCCGAGCCACCTGCCTTCTTGGGTTTGCAAATCCAGTCCCAAGAGATAGGGGGGATTTCCTAAGCACATCATCTCCTCCCCATAAGAAAGCTCTACATAACTGTGTGATTCTTTTAATAACACCAGCTGGGAGCAGGACACACTGTGCCTAATAGGTGTGGAGACTAAGCAACACATAATTAACCAGAGTACCTCTAGCTGCATAAGAAAGATTCCTGCTGGACCAACAAGTTATTCTAGCTAACATTTTGTCTACTAGACTATCATAGTCACTATTAGCCAAACTTCTCACATTAAGGGGTATACCAAGATACCTAACTGGAGTACAGCCTTCAACAAACCCAGACACTCTCTGGATATCCTGCTTCACAGAATTAGGCATATTCCCAAAATAAACTGCTGTCTTCTAAGCACTGACCTGCAAACCATAACACTTCTCAAATGTTTTTAAAGCCCTTAACAATAGCAACACTGAGCTCCTGTCACCATAACTAAACAACATAATATCATCAGCAAAAGCAAGATGATTCAAATGAAGGCTCCTGCACCTTGAATGGAATCTAAAGCCCCTTATATCACCAACTTTCCTCAAGAGTCTTGAGAGGTATTCCATGACTATGACAAACAATAAAGGTGACATGGGATCACCTTGTCTTATCCCCTTCTTCCCCTTAAAAAAACCATTCAAACCCACATTCACCACAATAGAAAAGGAGGGAGAGGTGACACAACTCATAATCCAATTTATAAAAATAGCAGGAAACCCCAAAGCCACCAGCATGTCTTGAATGAAGTCCCAACTGATTGAGTCATAAGCTTTTCTAAGGTCTACCTTCACAGTGCACCTAGGAGCCTTTTGCTTATACCTGTAGTTCTTCAGAACATCTTGACAAAAAAGAACATTATCCAAAATCGACCTCCCTGCCACAAAGGCACTTTGCACCTCACTAATCAGCTCAGGAAGTACCTCTTTGAGTCTAGTGCAAATCAGTTTAGAAATGATTTTATAAAGTACATTACAGCAAGCTATGGGCCTAAACTGACTCACTTTTGAAGTATTATCAGTTTTAGGAACCATAGTTAGGACAGTTGCATTAATTTGGCTAAGTAACTTCCCTTGATTAAAGAAATTCAGCACTGCATCAGTGACATCATCCCCAATTATAAGCCATGAGACCTTAAAGTACTTGCTAGAAAACCCATCAGGGCCTAGGGCCTTGTTCTCATTAATCCATAATGCATTCTTAACATCAATAGGCTTGAAAGGCCTACAAATGGAAGTACCCTGCTCAAAACTAAGGATCTCACCCATACCAATCACAGACTGATGAATCTTCCCCTCCATTCTGGTTATTGATCCCAGCAATTGTTTGTAAAAGCTAATAAAAGCCTCCGAGATCTCTTCTGGTTTATAAGTAACAATTCCATCCTCTCAAACACTATTCTTTACCCTTCTTTTCCTCAAACAGGCATGAAAGAAGCTAGAGTTCACATCCCCATCTTTCAGCCAGTGCAGCTTTGCTTTCTGCCTCAGAAACTGCAGTTTCCTTGCATGAGCAATCACATACCAACTTCTGATCTCATGTTCTTGTTCCATTAAAGATTCATCTGTAGGATCACTATTTAAATTACCCTTCACCTTCAACATATCCTCCTCCAAACAGGCATCATCAGTCAACACAGAAGAGAAATGCTGCTTATTAAAACCCTTCAAAGCCTCTTTTATCAACCTAAGTTTCTTTACAACAATGAACACAGGAGTGCCTTGAATAGAGCAAGTCCAATTATCTTCAATAATTCTAAAGAAACCAGGGTGCTCAGTCCATATATTGAAAAATTTGAAAGGTTTCTTAGTATTCCCCACACTCCCCAACACATTAATTACACAGGGGCAGTGGTCCATGAGACCTTCAGGGAGGAAGATAGCATTTGTATGTTGAAAAGTGTCAAGCCAAGCACCATTTCCAAAAACTCTATCTATCCTTGAACAAACTCTACCAACACCTCTCTGCTTATTATTCCATGTAAAAAACAGCCCATCAGTTTTGATTTCACTCAAGTTTGAGTGCCTAACACAGTTCCCGAAGTTCTCAATCTCAGTTAAGGTAACAGGAGCCCCAATTCTATCCTTAGGATTCAAGCATTGTTGAAATCCCCACAAACCACCCAAGGATCAGTTAAGGCACCTCCAAACTCAAGTAATTGCTTCCAAAGAACCTCTCTACCAACCTGGCTATTAACTCCATACACCATAAAGTAGAAAAAGAGCTTTTAGAGCATACATGCTTAATTTTCACATTAATCACCTGCATCTCTACACTAATCACATCAACACAAAAAACACCAGGCTTCCAAATTAACCATATTCTACCATGCCCACCCTTCCCATAGTTAGCAACCATGGACCACTCATCAGAGAAATTGGTGAAGACCTTTTTAAAAATTAGCAATCTTCACCTTTGTTTCCAGGAGCCCAAACAACCCAATATCATGAATTCTAAGAAAATTAAGCACATCACAGATTTTATTAGATTAGTTTAGGCCCCTTATATTCCAAAATCCCCACTTATCCATGAGGGATATAGGAGCATTCTCCAATCCCCTCACCTCCATACACATCCCAGTCACTACCAGCATTACCCCTTCCAATTTTACCTTCTAGGTCTTCAACCAGCACATCAAACCTATTCCTAGTTTCAACACCAATACCTTTTCCTTGCTCCTCCCTAGGATGCTGTGAATTCCTGCTAAGCTGACTCCATCTAGCTTGATTATTGCTTGTAAGCACAGGCTTCAGATTCCCCACAACCTGCTCTCTAGTCTTCTGCATATTGCAGCCTTTATCAACTTGCCTGCTTGGTTGCACAGGCTGTTGTATGGGATCTTTCATAGCATGTTTCCCACATTGGCCAGGCTGCTGCACTTGATTCATCTTCTTCTGAACAGGCCTCCACACTTTCTGAGGCTTCTGAAACCTGCTCCTCTGAACCTTTTCATTGCCCATCTTCAACTTTGGACATTGTGTAACCTCATGCCCTAAGCCAGAACAGTTTGCACAAGTAATTGGCTTCCACTCGAACACAACATTTTGGTTTACAGTGACCCCATTTTCATCAAGAAAGGTAATAGAATCTGGCAGGCTACCATCAATCCTTACCTCAATCAACACCCGAGCATACTCTATTTAGTCCTTCGTTGAAGTAGCTCTATCCATTTTCACAGCCTTTCCTAACAAACTACTAATCTTCATGAGGGAGTTGTGACCCCCAAACCTTAGGTCAAGCCCTGGGAAACGCACCTAGATTAGAACACAATCCAATTTCTCCTCCATCAGATTAATACCAGGCCTCCATCTCTTCACAACAACAGGCTTCCTATCAAAAGAGATAGGTCCACCTTCAATGGCTTTTTCCCTTCCATCCAAATTCTTGATATGAACAATAAACACCCTATTAGCCACTAAACACACTTTAGCTACACCAAATTTCCCCCAAACTCGCTTGATAAACCCTTGAAACATAGACCAAGGAGGTTTTGAACAAACCACATAGCATACAATAGCCGAGCTCCAGAACTCAATTTCAGCAGAAACATCCTCCTTAGAAATTTGAACAAGCTTTGATTTATCAAAAACAGGCTCATGCACATGATTATCAAAAAACTTTCCATCATCAGCAACATTCTTGAATTTATCTTTCCAGGCCAAGCCTAACCCAACCATACTCCCACCAGACCTAGAAACACAATTCCGAAAAACAGAGCAAGCAGGGTTGGGGGGGTTTACAGATCGATTAGACCCAGAATCAAGAATCGTATTAGCATTACCAAGCATTAAAATGGGGGTAGGATTCGGGATATCATCATCAAAATCATCATAGTCATCAGAAATCCCATTATCCCCAAAAATCTCAGAATTGATAATAGACCCAGAAACACAGTATTCCGCTAAAACAGGGGAAGAATTGCTAATCATTAAGATAAGGGTTAGGTTCACAAAATCCTCATTAACATCATCAACATCAAACAACATTATCAGGAATTGCAGTATCATCAAGTAACCCAGAATCCATGGCAGACCCAGGAACAGAGTTTTGACCTAGAATAGGGGAAGATATTACCTGAAGCCATTGATTGAGCTCAAAATGATGCTGAGCCTTTACTTCTTCAAAGACCTCATTAATGGGAATATCAACCACTCCATCAAGCCAACTTCCATCCGAACCCACTTCCGTCACTTCTTGGTCCTCACCCGCCTTCTTGCATGATCTAAGCTTATACCGCTGCTTCTTCTTGGATTTAGAGGAGGATTTTGAATCAGAATTCTTCTTTGCTTTCCTTTTCTTACATTTGGCCATTAAAATCAGTGCATTTAATGCATTAAAAATGGCAGGAACGAAGATTTTCTCTCTCTAGATTTTCTCAACTTGCAACTTAGGGTTGGAAAGCTTCCTCACACTTCTCATCCCACTCAAACTTATTATCCTTCTTTATTAAAGAGGTCATAGGCTTTGCAATTTTAGAAAAGTCTTTCACAAAACGCCTATAATACCCTACTAAACCTAAGAAACTCCTAATGTTAGACATCGTCTTTGGCGTAGGCCATCCTTTCACTGCCTCAATCTTTGCTAGATCTATTTCTACCCCATCCTTGGACACAATGTGACCCACAAATGCTACTTTTTCCAACCAAAACTCACACTTGAAAAACTTTGCACAAAGCTTATTTTCTCTTAAAGTTTGTAAAACTGCCCTCAAATGTTCCACATGTTCCTTGTTTCGGGGTCTTTTGATGTGTCCTGCGGGAGAGTTACAACACCAGAATTGGTAGCCGGCCGCCTGTACCAGCAAAAGCACGGAGACTCCGGTTGGTTGGAGTTCCGCCTACGACGATCAAGTTAGAATACGTCTGAGTAAGTATGGATGCGGAAAGTAAATGTTCTCTCGGATTCTGAGAGATTCTGCAATTAATATTGCTCGGTAATTGTGTTTGACTGGGCATGAATGTCTAATAAATGAGGATTTTCCTCTATTTATAGTAGAAGAAGATCTATTCCCCTATTAGGGTAACTCTGTCACGTGTCAGCATCCGATTGGATCCCATTGGGCCTCTTGGAAGCTGACACGTGTCAGCTTGCTATTGGGCCACGTGGCATGGGTAATTTCACCCCAAACATTTGCCCCTGACAGGCGTCACGTGGCTTGACACGTGGCACCTGTGACACGTGTCAAGCTCTGGGAAGGCGTCGGTTCGTCTCCTTCCCTCCATTTTTTTTTGAATTCAAATTTGAAGAGAGGCGACGATTCGCCTTCTGGGTTTCCTTATAAATAGGAACTCCACTTCTCTCATTCCACACTTTTGCAAATTTTTTAGAGAATTCCTTTGAATGAAAAAGAGAGAATTCTGATCCCGGCTGCTCTTGCACTTAAACAACTCCTTTGATTCAGATACGTCCGGTTACCGGTTGAGGGCTTCTTTAATCATCTCACTAAGGTACCGTCTGACTTAGTCAGCTTCTTGATTTCAAATAGAGCCTCAGCCGGTCTTACACCGTCTGGGGCATCTTTAAGCAATTCCTTCCATGAACAGCATTCAATAGACCCACAACCGGTTTTATACCGTCTGGGGAACTTTAAGCAATTCCTTTCATGAACTGCATTCAATAGACCCACAGCCGGTTTTATGCCGTCTGAGGGACTTTTGAGCAGTTTTCTTAATAATCGCTTTCAATGAACCCACAGCCGGTCTTGTACCGTCTGGGGTATCTTTGGGCGATTTCCTTTAAAAACGCCTAATCATTTGTTTTCTATACAACTAGCAAAACAACCACAGCCGGTCTTGTACCGTCTGTGGTATCTTTGGGTCACATTTTGGAATAACGGTGGTTTTCTTGCAAAATTTCAGTTGCTCTTCAAAGGGATACCGTCTGTGGTATCTTCAAGCAACAACTCAAAAATCCTTTTGCTAGCAAGCCTTTCACTACTTCAAGGTACCGTCTCTGCCCCTTGCATCTTTTTGTGTTTTTCCCGGCTGTATAGGTTGTTAGAGAATAATGGATTCACCCAACACACACACACCACACCACGATTTAGAGGTCAACCGGTCCCCTGGTACGGCTTCTAAGACTAGGGGAGCCGCCTCTGGGTACTGGGATTCCCCTTGTTCATCTCCCAATCCGACCGTCTGTCTCTATGCAGGACGAAATGGCTCGTATTAGAAAAACGGAGTATAAGGGAGAAAGCTCCGAAGAATTGCCGCCTGAAACAAATCACGCTGAGATATCAAGAGAATCCCCAAGAGGTACCCCAAACACCCCTAGATATAGAATCCCGAGGTCCGACAATGGAGGCGGCGAAGATACCGCCTCTACCTCTAGAGCTCATGAGGAAAAATCCTCCGATAATGGAGGCGGTGAGGATGCTGCCTCTATCTCTGGAGCTGAAGAGGAGAAAAAAATCCTTTGGAAACGAGAGCAGCGGAGATACCGCCTCTACATCCGGCTCTGAAGGTAGTAGCAGCAGCTATCTTACACCGGTTCTAGATAGAGAGGAGGAAGAGAGAACAACTTGGAATAATAAGGGTGATCCCCTCCTAATCGTCGTCTCTGCTAAGGACCGGGCTAGCATGGAGAGGAACTTAGGAAACTTCGTCCTCGCGCGGCCTCTAGGAGAAGGGTACAAATTTCGAGTGCCGCCTAAGATGGGGACGATTGTCTAGGAAGAAAACCAGCGCAACGCGAATGGGTATTTTGGCTGCAATGAGGCGGCCTTTCTAGCCGGTCTCTGCTTCCCTCTTCATAACACCATCAAGGCCATCCTAAGAGGATATGGCCTAGGTATATGGAAGTTAACCCCTAATTCTTGGGTTAATATTTTGGGCTATATTGCCGCCTGCGAGATGCAGAGCCTAAACCCCGGCTGGGAGGCCTTCGCCCATATGCATTATTTAAGACGGAGCCTAGGCGGGTGGAGAGCATGTTACACTTTGACCACCTATCCCCAGTACTTGATGACATTGGACAAACCGTCCAAGTGGTCAGACTGGAAGAACCGGTTCTATCTGGTTTCGGCTCCCACCAGAGAAGAGAACCGGGAGTTCAAGACCTACAACCGGAAACCCGAGCTTCTTCGGCAAAAATGTAAGAAGCTCCGAGTCCCGGATGAGGACTATGAAAAGATCATAGAGGCGGGGTTCTTTGAACTCACCACAACCGCCCTCCCAACCGGGGAACTAATAAGCGTGCCCAAGAATTGGGTACCCAGACATGAGTTCATGGGAGATGAGGCGTTCTTATCCGCCTGCGGGTTAAGCACCCAGTTTAAGAAACGTAGGTTGCATTAGCGCCCTGCTCTATTATGCCGCTTTAGCTATTTTATGCTTTTTTCTTTACCATCTTTCTCTAAT